GTTTCCATCGGCTGCTGCTCCCGCCTTTGCTCTTGGCACGAGCAAAGCTCAGCCTGGCTTTAATCAGCTGAGATTCGTCTTTGGATGCTCGCCCAGACCTGAAATAGCTGCGGGTGTTTGCTCCGCCGGTGGTTACCTGCCCGGTAAGGCAGGTGCCCGCGGGTGGTGTTTGACACCTGCGTGGCTCAAGCCCATGGGCTTTCGCAGGAGCTCGCACGGGGGGAACTCCGCCTCGTTTTCCCCTGCCTTTAATCCCACGCTCTGCGGGGAGGACACGAATACCCCAGAGGGTTTTTGCGCGTCTGGAGAGGAGACGGGTTTCCCAGGTCTTTGGAAAGCTGGAAAGCAGCAACCGGCTCTTTGCGGCGCGGTTGAGCACGGGAAAGCCGGGCGACTCGAGCACACAGCGCAACGCACACGGCCGGGAGGCAGAAAGACCTGGGCTGGGGGGGAGGGAGGTGGTGGTGGTGTTTGTCTTCTCCAGGGTGGACAGACAGACAGGTACCTTGTACTCCTCGGACGCCTCGTCGACAGGCACCACGGCGTGCGGGCGGTGCTCCCGGGACCTGTCGCACACCACGCAGATGGTTCTCCGGTCGTCCTTGCAGTAGAGCTTCAGGGCTTCCCTGTGCTTCACGCAGAGCCCGTCCTCCTCGGCACCCTTGGCCCCGCGGAGGGTGAACTGGCTGATGATCTCGGACATGTTTGCCAGCTGCCTGTTGGGTCTGAAGCTCTTCTGCTGGAAGACCTCTCGGCACTGCGGGCAGGGGAAGTCCATCTCCAGGTCCTTCCAGCTCTTGATGATGCACGCCCGGCAGAAGTTGTGCCCGCACTCGATGGACACGGGGTCTTTGAAGAACTCCAGGCAGACAGAGCAAGTGGCTTCGTCCTGGAGATTGCCAGGCAGAAACACCGCCGCCATGGCCTCTCTCCTGCGGGCAAGGACTGATTTCACCGGGGCTGGATGCGGAACATGAATGCTTGGCATCCAGCCCCGAGTGGGCGTTCCTCTTCCAGGAACGAGCCCGCTGCCCGAGGTCACTCCTGCAGTGTCCGGTTTCTTTAAACTGGTAACGAAGACCTCAGCATTAGAGGACAACATGTAGGTGGAAGAAAAAGCAAGCAGGAATACATCCCTGCCCTGTGCTCCCCCACAAATCCTGGGCTCCCTGACTTCTTTTTTTTTTTTTTTTTTTTCCTCCTCCAGGAGGGAGGTGGGAAAAGGGAAATCGTTTGGGATACGGCCACCAGATCTGGATCTCGTTGCTTTTTTGGCTGACCTGGTGCTAAATGCAAGACCCGAGTCCCCAGGCTTGCGTTTAGCAGCCGCTCTAGGCTCCGAGCCAGGTAACCATCTGAGCTCTCTGAGACCCATTTCACACTTGATGCTTCAAGTGGGGACTCAAACGATTTGGTTGAGCTCCAGGACTCAACAGGGGCCATAAAAAGCAACAGGAGAAAGGGAATACACAAGGATGGAAAGCCCGTACGAAGATCTAGGGGTGAGTTTCCAAAACCCATGAAGATTAAGCTCTGGACTGGGGGGTCCTGCATCTCAGAAAATGCTTTTTGTCTTCTGGGAGCTTCGTGTGCAGCTTTGGAGGTCTTGTGTTAAATGGAAATGATAATTAGTACATAAGGACCTTCCTGGGCTGGGGTTTGTCTGTGACAGGGCTGTCCCCACCTGAGCAGATCACCAGAGCTCTTGTTATGGAGAACAGAGATAAAAGTGAGTGACAGTCAGCTAGTTACTTGCGGGGGGGTCTGGGTGTCACATCACCACCACCAGAGAAGTGTAGGCACTTCTGGAGAGTGATTCATCCTCTCCTAATGAGGACTTGAAAAGAGATCAAGTGATCCTATCCCATAAATTCCTGGTTTCAAAATCAGCCCGGTTGATACATCCAAGTGGAGATCTTTCCCTTGGAGACGTCTGGAGCTAAGGGCAGACAAGTCCCCACGCCAGAGGCTGGACTGGAGGAGTTATATTAGCAGAACTAGCCTTGGTGTCCTGATGCCAGGGGTTTGCAAAGGGTTTCCAATCCGTGTTAGGGGTTGTGTTCATCCCAATACCTCTGCAGTTGGGGAAAAACCACGGAGGAGGAGTATCCGTCCTCCACTTGAACCGCTTTTGTAACCTCAAAACTTCCCTGGCATTTGCTTTTTCTAACATCTGCTAAACAGGAGCATCAGGCACCCATCCACTGCTCATCCAGACCCGCTCATTTGGGACCAGAAACAAGCTGTTTCGGGTCAGTCCGAAAACAATTCTGGGCTTGGAAAGGAGTCCCTCATCTTCCCACAGGAAAAGAAAATCTAAACACAGGCGCTCGCAACGACCCCCGTTACTCCGTGATCGGAAATAACACGGGACAAGTGACTCAGGCAGACAGCAGAATATATAGATATATTTATATGTATATATTCACACAGAGACCCACATATATAGAGGTCCATATATATGCACGCACATACATCCCTATATGTGCTATTTATACGTACACGGCTCGGTATGGAAGAGGAATTCTCCTGCAGACCACCAGTTCCACCTCTGTGCTTATTTATCTACCCGCCCCTTCTCGCATACACTGACAGACGTTTATACACATTGCCCACCCCTCCTTATGGAAGGGAAATTTCCTTCTCTTCCACCTTCCTTTTCTCTTGATCCGTGAATGAACAGAAGCTACTTTTTGTTTGTTTGTTCCCCACGTCACACGTAGGTTTTCCACCACATTTCTGCAGAGAGAAAGGAGGCGGCGGTGGCCTATGAGCCCGAGAGAAACCCAGAGAGGCAGAAACAGCCAAGAAAAAGAGCGAGACGCCTCGACAGAAGCAACGGGCGGCCCAGTGGGAAAAGCAGGAGGAGAACAAGGTGGGTATAGTGGAAAAAACAACAGACCCAAAACAACGGACAGACGGACAAGCACATCCCACCGCCCTCCCCGTGCCCCCGGCTTCCCCCCGCGTACCTCGGAGCCGAGGCGTAGGAAAGGGGCATCCTCCCGAACCGCCCCACCTTCTGCGTCGGGAGGGTGCTAGAGGGGGCCAGGCGGGAGGTGAGCCCGGCGGCCGAGGGCTCCCAGGGGGAGGCAGCCCGCGGCAGCCGCTCCACCGCGCTCTGCCGGAGGAAGCCGGCCCGAGCCCTGAACGCCTCTGACATTCCGCTGCCGTGCAAGCTCCTGCTCCTTCCCAGCCCTCGGTTGCCCCGTTTGTCCCCTCTGCCACCCCCACCCCCATCTCACTTACCATTCCTTCCCCTCCCCCATCGCATCTATCCTGGGCACCCACCGATATCCTTCTCTCCTCCTCCTCCTCCTCCTCCCCAGCGGCTCTGGCTCTGCTCTCCTCCTCTGTGCCAAAGCTCTTTTCCCTGCCCAGAGCCAGGATCGCGTTTCCAGCACCTCCCTCCACCTGTCTCCAAGCCCAGACCCTCTCTCCACAGGGTCTCTGCAGCCCTTTAACCCTCTCCACTGTCCCATCAATCCTCCCAGAGGAGCAGGGGGCTCAGGGAGGAGCGTAGCTTTTCATCCCTCCTCCGAAGCCACCAAGGAATGGTTCACCTCCCAGCCCCTATTTGGGGCAGCACCACGCAAAAAGAAGGGCAGAAATATCTCCTACAGGACATCTCCCACCTACCACGGGTGGCTTGTTTCGGTAAGGAGAAGCTGGGACACCCAAAACACCCAGGAGGAGGGGGAAAATAAAAGGAAAACACAACCCTAATAACATGTTTTCTTGCAGGACTCTGTTTTGGTGCCAAAGCATCCTGGGGCTGATCATCCTTTGGAGTTTTGTCCTATTTTAGGTGAGTCCGAGCAAGTTCAAGCCCCCACGCTGGTGCTTGCAGGTGGGACACGCGTGAGCGGTCACTGTCCCGCACCGGAGCTCCCCGCGCTTCCCCCAAAGCTGGAGCCAGCTACAAGGCTGGGTGGACAGAGATTCGGGCTCGGTCCCACGGCTGGAAGGGCTCTCCTCCCAGAATCAGGTTGGAAGTTGGACTTGGCTCCAGAAGACACCTGTACCCACACAAAGCAGCAGCCCCTACAACCCCAAGCCACGTGGGCATCTCCGCAGCCATCCTTTTACCTGCAAAACACACTCCTCTGGGGGGTAACAGTCGAAAGGAACATCCATCTGCTGCCCAGTGCAGCGGGCAAGATCTTTTTTTTTTTTAAATCCTCATCAAAAAAAAGATGAAGTCATTTAGCTAAATAACTCCTTGCAGCACTGAGCTTCCCAGCTACAAACGCCTCGGACAAAACCAACCCTCTTTTCCTTCCCCCCCCTCCCTTGTGCTGCAGTAAGACAGGAGGAATCCAAACCACCCGTTTTCCCCAGAGCAGACAGTGACAACAGCAGAACGTCCACCTCTGCACTGTTCCCACACTTCATGCTCGTGGTTTCTCCTCCCACCACAGAAGTTTCACCCTCAGAGATATGGGTGATGCTTTAAAAAAAGCCCATTTATTTTAGAACTGCCTGTAACGTATCGCCTTCGCCTCTTCGGGGCCTTTGTGCTGCGGGTGGCAACCACAGGTGTCCTGAACTGCTCAAGCTGTTCCTTTAGGCTTCATCTGACATCGGCAACAGGAGTTTGGTACCTCCTGAAGGACCATTTCTTGTCTACACTAGATGGATGGCAACTTCTGTTGACTAGTAGGGGAATTTTGGGTTAGCCCAAGTGAAATAAATGCCTAATATCAATTAGACACTGACATCCTTTATTTCTCTTGGCTTCCAGCAGCTCCCTGACGCTCTCTTTTCCAACCCTGGGTGAAAAGTTCCCAGCCCTGCGCTGCAGGAAATATCGGGATGCGACCAGAGGGAAGCACCTTGGCTTGCCCTTGGGGTTTTAGTAGCAGGATTACGCTCAGGGCCACGGGCTGCTTCCAGACCACCAGGAATGCTGAGTCTGAAGAGCCGTTAATAGGAGCGTCTGTCTGGAGGAGGAAAACAGGCACACGAGCCAAATTCAGCTGCCAGTTATAAGCCTGCAGGTTTTATTGCTAGAGCTGAAACAACAACAACAACAAAAAAACCCAAGCCAGATGCATGGGGAAAGAGAAACCCTCAGAGAAAGCGGGTCCGACCTTCCTCGTTTCGGGCGATCACCGTCCGAGATGGAGTTGAGGGCTCACAGCATCGAAACGACCGGACCCCACCGGCGAGCCCTGATCCCACTGCCGCCGGCTAGTCCGCGGGGTCCTCGTCCCACTCCTCGTTGCAGAGGTCCGTCTCGCAGCAGGAGTAGCGGGACGTCAGGCGGGACTCGGCGTCCGACGCCCGCTCTCGGCCGCAGTTCATCGCGGAGGTGCAGCCTTGCTGGTAATAAAGGGTCACCTTCCCTGCGGGGGTGGTGGGCACAGAGGGAGCGGGGTTAGAAGGAAGCAGCGCTACACCGGCGAAAATCAGCGGCGGGCTTTGAGCTTCCCACGTGAGGAACGAGCCCCGTGACCAGCGCACCCAAACGGAGTCACACCTCGCTCGGTTTGGTTCGGAGCTACACCAGGCGTGTGCACGCACAGGCGCAGCTCACGTGGCTTCTTTGGGAGACAGAGGCTCTCTTTTGCCCAAAAAGGGGCTTTTTAAAACCACACGTAGGGCAACCTCTCTCAAGAGAGGGAATCTGGCCCCCTGTGTCAGCCCTTTCCCACATCAGGGTCGTCGTCGCATTCTCATCCATTCTCCGCATCCATTCGGTTTTCCAAAGACAAGGACAACGCCGCACCGAACCAGAGGAAACACAGCTCTGGGCGCCCCCTCCCCACCGCTACGTACCCAGGGAGGTTTTGATGATGGCACATTTCTCTCTCCGCTCACAAGTCGTTTCGTTTGCTCCCCGAAAGCATCCAACGAAGGGGATCTTGTACCTGCAGACTTTGCATTGGAGCGCCTCGACTGCAGCAGACGGAGAAGAGGCCGTGAACTGGGGGCTCCGTTCTGCAGAGCCGGGGGGAGTTTTGCTTCGAATACCCCTGTGATCTGGCGGGGATGACCCCAGAGAAGGTGTGGAGCCCACCAGGGAAGGGACCAAGGATCACCTTCACTAACAGACCTGGTAGCGAGAGCCCTCGTCTGTAGAGGCAAATGATGCCTACGGACACCTGACCGAGACAGACAGACACGGCCTTAGGTGAACAAGCCAAGCTACAGACCCACAGAGAGTAAATGTGGCTGTGGGCTCTGGGGTGGGGCTCATCCAGCTGAAAGGGGGTTCGTCCGCTGCAAGGTGCGCATCTAGCCCGGGATCCAGCACCCCGCGGCTGAAGCTCCCGGCCCAGAGAAGGTCTCTCTGGATTCAGTAGCTCCCCCGGGGGAAGCGAGTGGAGAGAAAAACCCTTTTCGTTCCGGCCGGGAGGAAACCGGTTGCAGAGATTTTCTCTCCGCTGACTGTGGACGCAGAGGGGGTGACACCCAGCTCGCACAGCGACAGCGCTGCGGACGCCGCGAGCTTGGCAAGACCCTCCCAGCCACCGTCAGGTATTCCCCTGCCCTTTGTTAGATCCCCTTTAACCTCGACCCTCCACTTACCGACTCCGACGCACAAGACAAGGGTCAGCCCCATGAGGATCACCTTCATCTTGGGCAAGAGGACAGATCCTGACCTCCGCTCTGCACCCCAGCCCGCTACAGGGTTACCTGTGAACGAGAACGGTTCGGGTGGTTAATTAATCCCTGTAACGAGTTTCTTCGGTGATCAGCCTTCCAGCAGGAGGAAAACCAAGCAGGTAAAAACCTCTCAGTACAGACATTTGTGATGCCTCTTTGGGGGTAAAGCAAGAGAGAAACTTGAAGCACATCATCAGACAGCCCTCCAGCACCTTACAAAGCTGAAATACAGGCACCCCCACCTTTCCGCTGCTAATTTTAACGGCCAGGCTTTCGAGGCACAAATCTCCCAAGTGGATAAAATGGTCTTATGAGCGCGAAAAGAAATAAAAATGCACATTTCTTTATTTCCCAAGACGCCTCCACTTCTCATTTAGAGCGTGATCGTCCGTACCCGGAGGCACACAGATCTGGGCAAACCAAGGGAAGAAAATCTCGGCACCCAGTGTGGGGCTTGAAGCCCTGACCCTGAGATTCAGAGTCTCACGCTCCGCCAACCGAGCCAGCCAGGCAACCGAGGCCACGCCTGTTTCCATTATTTTTCTGGCTGAAAGTGTGAATTCGGTGCTGATTTAGCAAAATGCCCGATTTCACAAGTATAAAAATACTCAAATAAGCAGAAGCCCTTCCCTGGAAAATTTGAGGGGGTGTCTTGGGGTGGTGCCAGCAGATACAAAACGCAGAAGGAAGACACAGAAAAGTCCCAAAACACCCCCCCCACCCCCCTCCAAGAGAGGGTCCCTTACCCGACTCTGCTTTCCCCTCCAAGGTCCGGGCACCCACTGGCCACGTGTCCCCACCGCCTTTATTCCTCTCCTGCACTTGGGCTGACCCAGGACCTGAACGACCTCAGAGCTGAGGGGGGGTTATTGTTTGGTGGGAACAATGCTTCTGCTCGCACCTGGGCAAACACGGCTCCTCACCGAGCCTGGACGGACCTTCCAGGACACGGCGTCATTCATTACACGGGGGAGCCTACAGGCTCTCAGGCCCTTTCGTCCCGCTTCGTGACTTTGGAGTCAACCCAGGGCTGGCTCTGCACAAAAGACCCAAAAAGGCAGGTTTTGTAGATCTACGAGTAAGCCTACAGCCGCCCTTCTCTGCTCGTGCAGGCAGCACTTTCACGAGTCGCCTTTTGAGACGAGCTAATTCGGGTTTTCTTCCACAAACAGCACCAACAACGGGGGTAGGAGGATGTGCCTCGTCCCATTTCGGGGTCCTGTCGAAAGCCGAACCCTCCCACCTCCCTTCTCCCTCCCTCTCCCTGTTCAGCATCGTGTTTAATCACACTGGGTGCTGGTCCTCATGGAGCAGAGAAGACACTAAAAAAACCCAACACAAAACCCCGAGGGCTGGGAAACATTCACCTGACGCCGGAGCTCGTTTCTCCTAAGCTTGCAAGCGAGGCTTTGCACAAGAGAAAAGAGTTTCAGCGCTTCCTATTCTCTCCCCTCCTTGCCCGAGTTCTTCTTGGTTTGATTTTCTTAATCCAGCTTTTCCCCCTCAGCTGAGCTACTCCGTGCAGGGGACCTGAAACAGCTAGAACCCGCTCTTCTCGCACCCCTTCAAGCCAAAGGCTCCTACGGACCGGGGTCGGCGGCTTCCTCTGGGACACAGCGGGGGGGGGAGCCGGCGGT